TGACCCTTTGTTTGGTGTTTTATATGGTCTTTGGTTGAATGATCCTACCCAACAAGAAACTACTGTAGAACGAGAACGATTAAATCTAATTATTTTTACATTCATACCGAAATTTAATTCATTGGATTTTGCTTGCTTGGACTTAAATTTTAGTAACCTCATATGGTGTACATATGTTGAGCTTGAATTCGTGAACCTGCAATTTGAAGAACTTGACGAAATGCATCTCCTAATTTTCTTGCTATCAAAGACAACATTTGAAGGCAGCACCATGCTCAAACATCTTCAGTACATGCTTCTATCAATATCAGTACTTCTGTTTAATGCAGGATAACACTCTAATTACCACCAAAATGATGATTCTTCATATTTCCTATTTGTTATGTAGTGAGATAACTTCAATCGTAAAGAATTACAAACGGAAATGAACTACTTATATATCACATATATTTCAAAGTTGAGTACACTATATAGATATATTCCAAGTACTTTAAAGTTGAGTACACTCTATATACATATCAAATTCTCGGGTCAACGGGCCGGGGTATAAGCTAGTATTATTAAAGGAGAAAGCCAAAACTCATTACTCCATTTCAAATTTCCTGCATCGAGAGTGAAAGTGGGAATGACATTTTTGTCTCCACAACTACTTATTTCTTTCTTATTTATTCATAAAAAATATAAAATATATACATATGGGGGATTTGAACCATGACCACTTTTAGGAGAGGGAAGAGGTACAACCAATCACACTACATATATTTGTTGTATCTTTTAAAAGAAAAACATACACAAACCTAAAATCTCAAAAATCAGAAGACCTTTTCAGCGGTTAGCTAGCAACTAAATCTCTCATAAGTACTTATTTGGTGATTTGATACTTCGACTTTCATATTTTTTATTATTTTAATTGTATTTTAATACTTAATTTATATTTCAATGTATATATAAACAGATGATAACTTTAAAATTGCAACCCATATATCACTTGGTTGAATATTGCATATAAAAAATTAGAGTATTAAATAGGTCGAAGCAATATCAAAATTTTAAATTAGTATTAATTTTTAGAATTAACTATGAAGAAATCATATCCTTATGCAGACTATATGGGACTGGTTTTTTTAACGTTTTAGCCAGGTTAACTGCTAAGCTTTCATTATTGGTTCATTTCACCATTTTTTGATATGTTAATGAACTTCTAGGGCAATGACATATCTCTACGTCTAACACGATACAATATATAAGACTTGAATGAGAAAAGTATTTTTCCCATTTCAAATTCCTACAACGAGAGCAAAAGTATGAATGGTATATTTGCCTTCACAATTATTAAACTTATTTATTTGTAGAAAATAAACAAGTATTGGAATTTGAACCAATGTATCTTCCAAAAAAGACAACAATCATAAGCCTGATTGTCAACCCAAGTTTGACTTGGTTGGGCGAATCAGTTTTGCCCGAACCCGAATATTTGTTAGGATGTTGGAGGCCCAGTTGGTTATCAACCCAAACTTGGTCAAACTAAGAAAACCAGTTGAATTAGGAAATCGAGTTGATTCAACTAACTCGTCTAAGCACTTAGTCACTTCAAACCGACATCATTTTCAACAAATCAATCACTAGCTCTGTTGACATGTCGTCCTTTTCCTTATCAAAGACCCATGCAGCAACATACATCAACCACCCGTGTTCGGTTATCCCATGATATATTTTCCTCCTTTAGTATCGGCAGGCAACAATACAAGCCCCAATCATCTCAAAAGCCAACACAGTTTCTCAGTAGTCAATTCCATTTTCCTTCCAGCAACAAGGTCACATCGCTAATCAACCACATCTCAGACAAAGAATAAGCCACAAGATTAGACGAACATATATTTGGATTGAGACTTGGTGTGATTAATAGAGACCAATGTCCTCATTTGTATATATACATGAAATCGAATTGGAGAAGAAGAGTAAGAACATTGAGAATGAAATATGATATGCAATGAAAAGAAGAAAATGAAAAACTAGAAAATGAAATGGAAAAAGATAAAAAGAAAGATGGAAGAGATTTAGAATTAAAGCGTCATTTTAAAGCATCAGCTCCAAGTGAGAGAAAAGTATAAAAATGAAACTCAATTCCAACGAATAAGTTATATTAAATCGCCATTGTATCTAAATTTATCATAGAAATTTCATAAATATCTAAGCATAATACATGTGAAATCAATAAAATTTTCATGCACCTGGGTAAAGCTATGCTTAACCATGTTAATCCAATTCATCCATTAATCATTAACCCACCTGCTTAAACGACTCATTGATGAAATCGAGTGACAACCTTGGTCATTACAAATTAGACTAAACAAATTTGTTGTATATTTTTTAATGGGTTATAGGTATAATATACTCCTCTATTATATATATATATATATATATATATATATATATATATATATATATATATATATATATATATATCGATTAAGAACTCTATTATTCACTAATGTATGCAAGTTCAGTTTCCAAACATATTTTACTCAAATACTTTTATATAACAATGAATTACTCCCTAAATTTCGCTTAGTTTTCAATGAAAGATGAGATGTTGTTAATTGATTTACGACCTCAAATATACCTCCATACTACTAAAGCTACAATCATTGTGATCTATAGTTGTTCACTCACCTCTGCCAATGTTTACAGGTTCATATTTTGCTATGAAATTTAGATAAAGAAATTTTAAATCTCATACATTTAAAAGTAGGAGATGGAAACTATGTAAATAAGTGATTACAAATTTAATATTTTGAAACCCAAAACTGAAGGAATTTAGATCATCTCCTTTTGCAGTAAATTAAAAAGTCTTATGGGAAAGTGATACCTTAGCGTTGGATGTGGTGGTGAATGAACAACTAATGTCAAACGTGGCCTAAAAAATTCCCTCCACTATGATTTGCAAAAAAAAATTCTTCCCAAACCCAATTTATTACCATTCAAATCATATTTGGTAATATCACTTGAAGGTCATACCAATTAACGACTATTTAATTTGAGTTTAAATTAGACCTATTACATTGGCTAAAAAATAAAATCAACTCTAATGTAATTTTTGCAATTTTTTTTGTATAACAAACATAAATATGGAAACACCGATAATGAAGATGTGAATTGGTTTAATGGAAATAGCTAGATGGTCGATATTTCTTTATAGGTATAATTATATGGACTCAAATAGATTCAAATTGTGAGTTGAACCCAAATAAATGTTTTTTCTTCATCGCATCTCTACCTTGCTGCTTTTCTTTATTCAATTTGAAGAATGTGTGCTGTCATAGTGACGAGAATGGTTTGAAAAATTAGAGTCTAAATTTTTTCATTCTAACTTTTCTTTTATTTTTTTAAGAAGTTCATTATTGATAATTGCGAATGTTGATAAAAAAAATTATGTCTAAATTTTGACAGCCGCAACATCTTGGGTTGGAGTGTAAAAATAATAATTATGTATAAATATTCAAATTATTGGGATGAATATAATCTAACTATGGGGAAAAATCCAAAACTACCACTGTTTTAAAATAAATTACAAAAATACCACCCATTCTCAAGAATTTCCAAATCTACCACAATCCCCATCGAGGCGCGGTTCTCATTCAAACCGCGCGGGCAAGGGGCGGTTTGCTATTGGGCAGCTGACAAAACGCGCCTCCTCGTGGTGGTCCATGCAACCACACGATGGGCAGGCGAACTAACTGCTAACCGCCTGCCAGCGGAGCGATCCGCGTCGCCCACTAATAACCGTTGCCTTGAAGCGCGATTTGCGCGTTGGGAAACGTAAACCGTGTGCTAGAGGCGCGATTTTTGGTGGTGTAAAAAGACCAAACCGCCCCTCCAGCACTCGGTTCCTTTCTTATATAAACCCACCCCTTCCTCTCAGTTTCTTCACACCAAACCCCCAATCTCCTCTCTCTCTAATTTTCTCACTCTACCCATCCCCTCCCCACCCAAAAACCTTGGAAGTAGTTATTTTGTTGGTTGCGGCTAAGTCCGATCTGCCTTCAAAAAGCTTTTCTTTGGTTTTCACTAAAAACCCGTCGAATCTCTGTCCGGATCCTGTAAAAATGGCATATTTTATCCAAAAAGAGGGTATTTACTATGATGATTATCAAGCGGTACGTACTCATTTTACCCAATTTTTGTTGTTGTTATAATGGTTTATTTAATTTATATACTAATTGATTTATGTTGTTGTTATGCTATCGTAGGTTAGGCCGGATGTTGATATATACAATCAACGATATTATGTTGATCAAGAACCGATTGATCCGACTATTTTATACGATCAATACAATCATCGTTCAAAAGACGTTTGGAACGACCACAAGGTACATATTATTTATCATCACTTGTAATTTTTATTTTGTTAACGTAATTTATTATTTTGTACAATAAATTACTTAATTGTTAATCGTATTGATTATTTTCAATAATTTAAATCAATACAATACAATACAATACTTATTTAGACTCTTTATAAAGAAATGCATGTCTAAGGAAATGGGGTCTTAAGCGATCATCATGATCCTCCAATGACCTGGGAAAATCGGGTTCTAAGCGATCCTCGGATCCCCCCTTTTTCTGTCAAACCGACTGTGTTTCTAAGGAGATGTATACATTTCCTAAGAGTCTTACGAGTGCACTTGTATTGCTTTAAATTATTGAAAACAATCAATACGAAGTACAAAATAATATATTTGATTTTATGTGTATGTGTACAAAAATAATTTTATTTGAATTTCGAAAATGATTTTCATTTTAGTTAGCTTAATATTAATGTTTATTAGATAATGTATATTTCTCGAAAACAACCTTGATTTAATTAATTTATATTGTTTGTTATAATAGATTTATATATGTATAAATCATCAACTTATAGTGAAAGTTAAATTCTTCTCTAGGATGCATACCATATAGTCCGCTATAGGGGTACGACGAATGTGCTTGAATGGAACGACGTCATCTTGCCCTTTCTAAAAAGGGCAAGATTGGATCCGATTAGGCACTTTAATAGAATAAAGATCGACCATCAACTCATCACAGCATTGGTAGAGAGATGGAGAAAGGAGACACATCGCTTCAATTTTCGTGAAGGTGAGTGCACCATCACACTTAAGGACATCGCCATCCTAACCGATTTGCCCATTTATGGCGATGTTATTTGTGTGGAATCTACGCCACCAGCTAAAGTTGTTGCCAATATGAGTGGTTAGCAGCATTTTATATGGACCGTCACCGGGTTGTGTCCGTTAGAAAAGGGAGATCACGATGCGGATGGTAATCCACCATTGTCCAAGGGCCAAGTATCCATCACTTGGTTGACAGCGGAGATCCGGCGTAAGCACAACCCTGAGGTCGGAGGCATTCCCCTCACGGAGGAAAGTTCGGAGCGTGATAAAGAAATTTATGCACGTATCTACATCCTCGGCATGATCGGAGGATTTTTCTTCCCCAAAAAATCCAACAATTTAATCAGCAATTCATGGTTGAAGATCATATTTGGAAGTTGGGATGATATGGAAAACCTGAGCTGGGCATCTGCTTTCCTAGCTCATCTCTACCGCTCCCTCTGTAATGCTAGTTCGAGAGCGATGAAGGAGATTGATGGGGCCATGTTCATCGTCCAATTTTGGGCTTGGGAGCATTTGCCATGGATTACGCCGAAGTTAGACCCCGACAAGGAATGGCGACCCGACCATCCCCTACGACATGAAGCTTATGGTTGTAGGTAAATATTTTCTATCCCACTCATAGTTCTCACCTTTTTTTTTACTAATTCGGTATTTTATAACGAAATTTTTAGTATGTATTAACATTGTGTACTTTTCCATATTAATAGGTGGCTTGGGGAAACAACATGCGACAACCTAGGAGCGCATAAGCTGGAGGAGTATCGTAGGAGGCTGGATCACCTTTGGGAAGCAGAGGTAACCATCATAATACACTATTACTTCGTGCTCTATTTTCAACTTGCTTTATTATGTTTCTTGATGGTCCATTTTTTATGCACCTTCGTAGCTTATGTTCGATATGTATCCCGAACGGATCGTCGCGCATCACGTCCAAAAGTTCCCGTTGCATCCCATTCAATGGTGCACCTGAGTGCCACTAATCTGCCTCCATATAGTGAAATGGCACTTGCCGGATCGATGTCTACGACAATTCGGACGTGAGCAATACCTACCATTGGAAGTCCCAGCGAGTTAGAGGGTGTACCACGTGAAAGATGGTCGATAAGGATCTACTAATTGGCCCAACGAATTTGAAGAATTGATCGATCTGTGGTATAATAGGCAAGAATCAGGATATTGTGACGGCGTCAGCAGTGTGGCGGATGGGCTACCATGACTCATACATGGAAACATACCGAAGACAATCCGTAAGTTACATTGACCCCCGTAGGTGCGTCGGATGGAGCTTTGGTAATTAATTCAGTCATATTAATTTATTTATTTACTTTGAGCATCAATATATTTAGTCATGCGGTGCATTACTACTTAAATGGCTAACGTTGTTATTTTCTGCGATTTAGGTTGATGGCATCGAGCGTATACACGACCTCGCTCGTATTGCAGATCCTTTGGAGGCGGGGCGAGAGGTGGGGCTCATTCGAAGGATAGCGAACAGTCCCCTTGGCTGTATGAGAGCGCGCTCCCGTGACCATCACAGACACCCGCCAGTTCCCCCAGTTACACCGCGGCCGTTGACGGAAGATGTCCCCCACGTGCCTCCGCCGGTCAATAGAAGGCCAAACAAGGCTACAAGAGATCGACCTCACGTGCCCGAGATCAAGCTGATTGAGGCGTGGAAGGTGCCTACTCCATTTGAGGTGTGCCAAGGTGCAGGGTCGAGTACTTTGTATGAACCTCGATCGAGTTTTCACTACGATCCGCGACCGAGTGCTTTCTACGGCCCCAGTACTCAACATGATCCTCGCCCCAGTTCCCTCTAGGATCCCCCGCCCGGTTACCACTATGATCCCAGACCGAGTTTCCAATACAATCTCCGGCCCAGTTTCCACTTTGATCCATCTCATTTGGAATCCTTTTTACCCACGAGCGACCTATTTCCCGCCTAAGTCCGATTGGTGGGATGATGACCTTACCCTCATAAACTTACCAGTAAGCTTCATCCGGTAATGTACGGAAACTCTTACCATAACTGTTCTTTTGTGAGTCGATGTTGAAGAACGGACTGACAAAATGACGAGGATCTTTGCTCCTGTGCTTTATTACAGCCATTGCATGGGAACAAGGTATACCTCTACCCTGATACTTCTGACAAGAGCACTCCCCTTTTTTATCCTAAAGTTGACGGTGACTTCATGGTGATGATCTCCACGTCTCCCATCCTCCCAGTGCCCGGTCTCGACCGAATACTCGCCATCATTTTGGTTCATAACAGTGACAGTGTGCCTAGAGCTCTTCCGATTATCTTTTTCCATTATTTCTGTGGCCTTATCGGAGTGTACCTTACCCTGTGCCTCCCTCTTCTCACACCAGTGGAGACGGTTGACGAACCATGCATTTTTTTCCAGAATGTCATCTCAACAATTGCAGAGATGGGGAGTGCACAACATGCCCAATAGACGTTGTTGATACTCTTGCTTGAGTTCGTTGTGGCAATACCCCATCTGGTACCTCCGTCCTTATGAAACGTCCACATTGCAAGGTCATGTTCATCAAGCCACTGCGCACCTTCAGGGCATAGCTGACGAATATTCTGCATCTTCTCTTTAAATTTCTTCTCTTGGTAAGCGATAGCTGATGAATATACGAACAAAAGCGTAAGGTAAGCAAGGCTTCCGCTCTAAGCAATACAAGTACACTCGTAAAACTCTTAGGAGAGGTATACATCTCCTTAGAAACACAGCTTGTTTGATAGAAAAAGGGGGGGGGGATCCGAGGATCGCTTAGAACCCAATTTTCCCAAGAAATGGGAGGATCATGATGATCGCTTAAAACCTCATTTCCTTAGGCATGCATTACTTTATAAAGAGTCTAAATAAGTGTTGTATTGTATTGATTTAGTCCTCGTTTTTCCAGTTAACAAAAGATATAGACCAATGAAATAGAACTCTTACCGATCCACCATAGACTATCAGCAAGCTTCTTTCGCTTGAAATGATGGTTCCAGTTGCTCTTGAAATGTCGTATGCACCATCTCTGTGACCAGTTCCAAGCTGGATCCAAGCCTAAGATAGCAGCCCTTATACCTGCGTGGCGATCAGAAATGATGGTTAGGTTCGTCCGCCTGGTGACATGAAGTTGAATTTGTCTAAAGAACCATCCATATCTATCGGTATTCTCTCCCTCCATAATGGCAAAAGCTAATGGATATACTGCTCTATTTGCATCTGCTCCGCTGGTGGTCAGTAGAGTACCCTTGTACTTGCCGGTAAGGAATGTTCCATCAACTTGAATCATAGGAACACATAATGGAAAACCATCAATACATGGCTTGAATGACCAGAAAAGACGCTTGAAATGGCACTTATTACCAGGCACCGGTGGCTGAATTTCTTCATCTTGGTAGCGAGGAGAGAAAATGATGTCAAGGTTAGATACCTCCAACGCCAAAATCAATCTGGGAAGGAATGCATACGATTCTTCCCAGTCACCAAACACGGCGGCCATTGCTTTCTGTTTTCCATGCCACGCCTTCTTTTAGTTAATGATATAACCATAACGATGACCTTGGGATGTTATAATGACACACACATGTGTGTGTTCCCCGCACGGGATATGACCCAATGGCCGACTCTCTTGCTCTTGATGGCCCGGACCCTAGCTTTGCATCCCTCATTTTGATTTTTGCATCTAACCATCAGCCTCTTCGTGTTGGAATGGGTTGTGTGCCATTCAAAACTCCGAGTCATTGCTTCAGTGGCAATAGCGTGTCAGACCTAATTCTTCGTTGCAAATTGTTGCCCTTCGTAAAGCCAGTGAGTGGACCCCATACTGGCACCTCTAGCAGGTCCATGTCGGCATCAACATATCAATCTACATTTGGAATGAGAATGTTGATTTTTTGCTCGGTAGTCGAAGGAAGTACATATGGTTACAATCGATGAAGTACAAGGACGAAAGGATCAGAGGAAGGCAAGGAGGCACAATCAGATAGAGGCAGCGGCGGATCCAAGACATAGTAGAGCACTGGGCCGCATTTTATTAGAAAACTAGATACCGCAAAAAATCATAATTTTTTTTACAATATCAATTGTACACGTCGATCTTTTAATATAGTGAATTCATAAAAAAAGGAGTCTACATCCATACTAATCGCATAATACTCTTTTTCAAATAAAATAGTTAACCAATCGGCGAGAAATTTATCGCTCATTTTGTTGCGCAAATCATTTTCACCTGTTCCATTATTGAAAAGTTTCTCTCCATAGTAGTTGTCGAAACGGACAATGTCAACACTAGACAAATCAATCGAGTAATCAATTTGTATTGTGTATCCATCCCCATTTCCACCACCTGCTCTAGTGATTTTTCAATCGAACAACTCTCATATTTCTTTAGCCTTTTACATTTTAGCCTTTTAGAATTTTAGGTTTCATTGTTTGTTTTTTTTAGATGAGACTCATTTGAGCTAGAATTTCTAGACTAAATTTAGAGTTATGATTTGAATATGTTCATCTTACCCATTTTCCTAATTATACACAATTTTATTATAAAATAACACTTGATCGAATGGCTAAAATCGATAAACGCATAAAGATTATACTAGTTCCGGATCCAGAGGAGGACAGAGCCGTGGCCCGGAGTGGCCACCCCCTGGATCCACCACTGGATAGAGGGAGAGATATAGAGCAAAGAGTTTAGTTTTGGTAAAAAATTATTTTTCCACTCTAATTAATTCAATGTGATTAACATAAATGCAAGTAATTTTTTTATATTAATAACAATTTATCCAAATAAAAACATACCAATACCACAATGTCAACATAAACAATAAACATCATAGTTTGTAAAATACGGTACGGGAAAGTTACGTATAAAATACTTACGGGTATTTTACTTCATTTCTAAGTTAATTTTACATTTAATAGTACATTAATATTCATAAATATATATAATTTAATTATTTGAAAAATAAAAATATATATAAATAATAGTAAAATTAACAATTTAGTTCATTAAATACAGATATTAAACGTGTTATACGCGTTTTATACATGTTTAGTACGGGAGCCATCAATGAACGG